TACAGTCAGAAAGCAGAGTCAGAAAACTGTTTGTCATATATCAAGGATCTTCACATCCTTGCTATACTGTCATCAGTATTGAGTCATCCATAACATTTACTGTAATGAATATACATACCTCTAAATGATATTGTTTTAAATTGTAAAATAACAGAATTAACTACAAGGCGGGACTGTGTATTTTATGGGAAAATAGTTCACATTTTCTACCTTGACTAAGATAATCCACAAGCTAACACTGTTATAGCCTATTTGGTGCCTAGCTTGGCAATACATCCTATCATTAAACTTGCTGGTGTTAGATGTTGAGAAAATGCTCACAATCCTTTGTCTTTGTTACTGAGCTTAGTTTAGTCAATAGCTGATGTCGTGAAAATGTCTGTAAATTGCGATAAAGTTACGTGTTTGATAATCCACATCAAGACCACTTTAAAACCAATACAGATCCTTTCCCGCCTCTGATACGGAACTCTCTAAACCTGAAAATACCAAAAAATCATAGAAGCATATGCCAGTTTAAAAATTTGAAAATAAGCGTTTTCAAATATTTGCTACAAGACAATTATAATGACACCAATGTCAAAATAGTAATTCAAACTGTAAAAGAACTTACCTGAAATAGCAGTATGACCTATAGGGAAATCACTCGCTAATCTCGGATCAGCAAATCTAGATCTAGTCGAATCACTTCCTTTTGTAAAATCACATTGTCCAGAGAGGGCACTTAACTGGTTCGATCTCATTGATTGTTGCATAAACAGAGCACCATAGTTCTGACTGAATCTACTAGTACTGGCAATGGAAGGATATGACAAGTCATAATGTAGAGGTCTATGTGGATATTGAACACCGTGTGATTGAGATGAAAACGAATATGGCCACGAATCCTGATGTAAGCCTGACAATCCATGTAATGATGAAGGAATATATGAGTTGGATGGAAACTGAAAGTCATGATGCGATGCCATTAGACTTGCTGCTGCTGATGCTGCCGTATGTTGGTAGCTACTGTTCCAAAATGATGGCGGGAAATTACGCTGTGACCACGGGGAAGGATCTGAAGAGATAAAGGAATATATTAACAAACCAATTTACTCAATAGATAGATATAATATAAAAATATAATTCCGTTCTTTTACCATCGTCTGTTATTCGCAATATGAAACCTGAAATTGTCTCTCCAATTTCCAAAACTATCAAAGATGTCAAGGCATTAAATTAAGTGAATTGCGTTATGCCAAATGTAAAATAAAGTATTTGGACACACGTTTCTAAATAATTCAATCATTGGGTGGTCTGGTTTGGTTTTATTTTTTACTTCAGTATATATGTAATGCTTTGTTAAACCTGATTCTTGAACAGATTTTCTGCTACATTTAGCTGGAAATGAATCAGTCTATTGCAATAAATCAGAGACGTACTGCATCAAAAACGCTTTATACAGAAATATCTGTATTTTGTATTCTTTGTAAAATTCATTTGAGTGGAAAAATCATGTATAACCTGTTATATCTTTTACGTTATTTCCCTTCAAAATAGTACGGGAAGTTATGTTTCATTTAAACTGAAGAAATTGGAAGATATCTGGGAGTCAATTGATAATAATTCTTGTATTAAAAGATGTCCTCCAGTTTGGTCTAATTCCCATTTGAGCTAATTCCTGTTTGAGCTACATTTTTCAATTGTTAGTCTGTATTAACTAAGCTGTGTTGATCATAAGATATCGTTGTAAAGTGTATTGTTATGCTATCTGAATTTAAATTACTATTTCTTATATTAATTTTAAATTTAACTTCAAAAATTATTACTTAATAAATTTCATCATTCGCTTATACTTCAAATTGTTGTAAGCTATTTTTTATTTATAATTGTCCATAACTTTTATTATACTTTGAGATTATTTTATTTTGGTTTAACATGACGTTTTATTCAACTATATTTTGTATCGGTATCATTCATGCAGTTCATATGATATTCATTCTTAAAATTTATTTACTTTTTATGATGAATAATTTCAATCAATATAAATCTATACTTGGATATTGATATATTTCGTCAATTATTATATCCTTTACTTGGTTATTGATATATTAAATCAGTTATATCTTTTACTTGGATATTGATATATTTCACCAATTATATCTTTTACTTGTGTATTGATATATTTTACCAATTATATATTTTACTTAGGTATTGATTTATTTCACTAATTATTTCTTTTACTTAGGTATTGATATATTTCACCAATTATTTCTTTTACATGGGTATTGATATAATTCACCAATTATTTCTTTTACGTGGGTATTGATATATTTCACCAATTATTTATTTTACTTGGTTATTGATATATTTCACCAATTATATCTTTTACTTGTGTATTGATATATTTCACCAATTATATCTTTTACTTGGTTATTGATATATTAAATCAGTTATCTTTTTATTGGTTATTGATATATTTCACCAATTACTTCTTTAACTTGGTTATTGATATATTAAATCAGTTATCTTTTACTTGGATATTGATATATTTCACCAATTATATCTTTTACTTGTGAATTGATATATTTCACCAATTACTTCTTTAACTTGGTTATTGATATATTAAATTAGTTATCTTTTACTTGGATATTGATATATTAAATTAGTTATCTTTTACTTGGATATTGATATATTTCACCAATTATATCTTTTACTTGTGTATTGATATATTTCAACAATTATATCTTTTACTTGGTTATTGATATATTAAATCAGTTATCTTTTTATTGGTTATTGATATATTTCACCAATTACTTCTTTAACTTGGTTATTGATATATCAAATCAGTTATCTTTTACTTGGATATTGATATATTTCACCAATTATATCTTTTACTTGGGTATTGATATATTTCAATAATTATTTCTTTTACTTAGGTATTGATATATTTCACCAATTATATCTTTTACTTGTGTATTGATATATTTCACCAATTATATCTTTTACTTGTCTATTGATATATTTCACCAATTATATCTTTTACTTGTGTATTGATATATTTCACCAATTATATATTTTACTTGGGTATTGATATATTTCACTAATTATTTCTTTTACTTGGATATTGATATATTTCACCAATTATTTCTTTTACTTGGTTATTGATATATTTCACCAATTATATCTTTTACTTGAATATTGATATATTTCACCAATTATTTCTTTTACTTGGATATTGATATATTTCACCAATTATTTCTTTTACTTGTGTATTGATATATTTCACCAATTATTTCTTTTACTTGGTTATTGATATATTTCACCAATTATTTATTTTACTTGTGTATTGATATATTTCACCAATTATTTCTTTTACTTGGTTATTGATATATTTCACCAATTATTTATTTTACTTGGATATTGATATATTTCACCAATTATTTCTTTTATTTGAATATTGATATATTTCATTAATTATTTCTTTTACATGGGTATTGATATATTTCACCAATTATTTCTTTTACTTGTGTATTGATATATTTCACCAATTATTTCTTTTACTTGTGTATTGATATATTTCACCAATTATTTCTTTTATTTGAATATTGATATATTTCAATAATTATTTCTTTTACTTGTGTATTGATATATTTCACCAATTATTTCTTTTACTTGTGTATTGATATATTTCACCAATTATTTCTTTTATTTGAATATTGATATATTTCAATAATTATTTCTTTTACTTGGATATTGATATATTTCACCAATTATTTCTTTTACTTGTGTATTGATATATTTCACCAATTATTTCTTTTACTTGGTTATTGATATATTTCACCAATTATTTATTTTACTTGGATATTGATATATTTCACCAATTATTCCTTTTATTTGAATATTGATATATTTCAATAATTATTTTTTTACATGGGTATTGATATATTTCACCAATTATTCTTTTACTGGTTATTGATATATTTCACCAATAT